AGGCTGCAGCCTCTTCCTTCCGCATCAGGGGTGCCTCTTGCACCCCCTGGGCCTGGCTCCGAAACCCTCTGGGAGGGCAGCCCCTGCGAGGCCGACCGTGCCGCAGGAGCCGCCTCTCCTCCCTGAAAATCCGTCGCGGGCGGTCGCAGACATGGATCAAAGGGGCGTGGATTACAGTCGGCCTTGATTGGACAGGGCGCGCGAGAGGACAGAAGACCCTCCCGGGGGCCGCGGTGCCGCAAATATGCCGGAGGCGTGGGTCGCAGGACACACGACACGAGGGGACCCTTGATCTGGCAGGGTCGACCTACTGATCCTGGCCGCCTCTAGCGACGGTTCCCGCTTCCACTGAAGGGAAACTGGGACACACAAATAAATACACACAAATAAAATGATTCCCCATATTTTCCTATATTTTCTGGGTTTTTGTCTTCCCCCCCACTTCCCATATTTTCGCATATTTTCCTGGGAATCGAGGATGAATTGTGTCTGTGTGTTTTTTCCCTCCTGATCCACGGGAAATCCCGGATCTCCGCCGCCGAGCGAGGCGGCACCGGCCGCATCTTGGAGAGGGCGCCTCCCCCGATGCATGGACTTGGCGACCGCGTTCCGGATCCACGGATCGCCACTCCACGTCTGCGCGCCCCTGGTTGATGGGAGGCGCACAAACAGATTATCGGGGGCGGCCAAGAGGGGGGTGTCTGGAGGGCAGAAAATCCACCCCGAGAATAAACACCCCGACAAGCGAAGCCGTTTAGTAAACGCACCCGAAGAAAGAATCAAACAGGGCAGGGCCGTTTAGTAAACGCCCAGGGTCGTTTAGTAAACGCCAATTGTCGGGGTCGGGGTGGTTTTTCCTCCCTTGAGTGTCCAAGAGGGGGGGGTGCAAATCATGACCGGCGGCATGTGCGCGGCCCCGCGGGGGGGGCCAGGGGCGTCATGAAATAAGAAGAGGCGCCATGAAATCTGGGGAAATATCATGGCCCACGCCATGATATCCCCCCCCCCCTAGTCATCACCCCCCTCTTTTCCGCCCCCGATACTAGTACTACATGCTCTCCTTGGAGGCCCGCGCGTCCGGCCCGAGCATGCAGTGGACCCATCTTGTAGTATGGCGTTTCCCGAGCGGTGTGGCCAGAAAGCGCCAACCACGACGCAGATACTAGAAGACTTCTCGGTGCGCGCGTCGCCCTGGGGGGGGGGGGGGGCGACGCACATGTACTAGAAGTATGTCGGGGTGACGCCGACTTGACTCGGAAGAACCCCTCTTCTGCACTGCCCACACACCGACCGCCAGAAGCCGCGCCCAGGGGAACTGCTCGGGCTGCACCCCTGGCCCGAAGTACCCTCCGAGCGGTCAGACTGACTGGCGGCCCACTTCATCCACACAACCACCAAACCCTGCGCCGGTCTCACAACACATCGTGCACATGGGGCAGCACGCTCACCACCAGGGTGTGCTGTTTCTCATTGTGTGTTTCCTCCCGGGGTGGCCTTATCTGGTCTGTCTGGGCGCGCCTGGTCTGTGCGCCTTCTGCTCCTTCCGCGACCATGGTTGAACCCCAATGTTTTTGAGGTTACGTAGGTCGCCCGCAGGAGCGGAACGACGCGCGCACATCGCGCTTCGAGGTCAGGGCCACAAGGTCATCCGCCCCTAGGGGCTCCGCGAGGGCGTGCAGGAATGTGCGTTGCGCGCTGCTTGCGATGCTGAGCACAAGTTGTCGGGCGACCTAGCCGTGCAGCAGACCATGCACAGCGACAACCTGCTCAACACCAGGGTCCGCCAATCATCGTTGTGTTGTTGGGCGCACCGTACCCCCTCCTGGGGTGACCTGCTTTGGTCTCTGGGCGCGCCTCAAGATCGCCGCCAATCGAGACGTCGATGAGGCTGGGATCGTTGCGCATGAGAGGTGGTTGCGACGAGGCGACTACTGGGCAGATATGGATGCAAAACATGCGGTCGGTTTGCACCCCAACGACTATGTACTGCTCGAGGCAATCAATGTCAACGTCGTTCGAGCCCGTGCTACTTCGAAGCTAGCTTCTGGCCTGCTCCGCCTTTGGCCCGATCTCGATCTCAAGAGCGTGCCTCGTGCTCCTGCCGTGCCCTACGCACTGGCACCGCTGGCAGCGGTGGTCTGGGGCCTGGAGGTGTGCGATCTGTCCCAGAGAAGAGCACGCCTAGAACCGGCCTCCTCCAGGCCGCGGCCCTCATGATTCCATCGACAAGGCTTCCCGTTGACCCTCGTCCGTTGGGGACCGTGCTGGGCCGACGTGCCGTCGGCGCTTGCGAAGTGGAGCCGACGCGCGCGCTTCCCGTGGTCCGCATGCCGCCGCGGCGCAGTTCCATCGGCAGGGCTTCCGCAACTCGTCATGCGACCCCCCAAAGTGTAGAAACACGAGAAGATGCTATATTCGGGTGCGGCCAAGAGGGGGGCGTCCAAGAGGCGGGGGGGTGCAATTCATGGCCGGCGGCATGTGCGCGGCCCAAGGGGGGGCC